CACACTGGATTGTAGATTAATATTCTTTCGTTTTTTTATTATTATTATTCCATTTAGATTCCTCGACTAGTTTCGACCGAAATGGTCATCATCGGGAGGAGAAATTAAATATTTCTGCTTGCTGTTAGCAGTGAACTACAGAAATGAATGTCTTTTGTTGGAGAAAATGAACTTTTGTCTGTAGTTTTCATTTTTTTTTTTTTTTTATCTTTTTCACATGAATCTTTTTAACATTCCTTGTGTTGGTCAAACAGTCTCTTTTAAGTTGTTATTTGAGATAAGAACTGGATAGATACATTTTATCCTGAATTCTCTGGTCAGTTTGACAGTTTTATTGGACCTGGTGAGGGGATGTGTCTCTGTTTAGCGTTTGTGTGTGTGTTATTTGGTTCTTAGGGAGTGAGTGAGTAGTATGATATGTGTAAGCGTGTGTGTATTGCTGTAGGTGTGTGTTATCATTTGGCTCATTAGGGATTGAGTGAGTATGGTGTGTGTATGTGTGTATGGTGTGTGGGTGAGTGTATAAGTGTGAGGCCTCCATTCCTCCGTAAGCATGTCTGTCTTGTGTGGGTGAGAAATGTGGGTAGGTTTTGATTTGTTGATTGTTACTATTATATATTGTTAAATTTATGATTTAGCCCGGCTATATATATAATATTAGTGGTAAATATACACATACATATGCAAAATATATATACATAGGTGCATACACATACATGTATATTTTTTGAATAAAAAATTCCGAGAGGATAGAATCCAGGTAGAACTCAATGTCCAGGACAGAGTAAGGATATAATAAAAAGGCTTAAACACTAACCCCTCTCTGTTAAGTTTTAATCTCCCACCCTCTCTCATATGTTACCCCTCTCTTTAACACTAACATTCGTCCCACACTCTCATACTTACACTCTCTCTAAATTCTATTTTTATTTCCGGAGTTGTTTTTTTCTTTTTGAATTTGTAGGTCTGATGAATTGGATCGTATTTATGATTCCAATGGAATAAATTATGACTATGGAATATTAGTGTTTAAGCCTTTTTATTATATCCTTACTCTGTCCCAGACATTGAGTTCTACCTGGATTCTATCCTCTTGGATTTATTTTTTATACAAATATGTATGTATGTATGTATGTATGTATATATATATATTTATATATTTTAGATATATGATTGCATATGCATGTGTATATTTACCACTAATATTACTATATATATGCAAGTGTTTATCGTTGCTTAGAGATCATCTATGTAAACATTCACAGACTGTCATCACTGTCTTGTCCGTATATTGCTTAATATGTTGTAATTGATATCTTTGATAATGGCTTACGTAAGCCGAAAGCTTAGATTGTATTAAAAAAAAATATGGATCAATATTGTGAATTTCTTTCTTCGTTCAATTATAATGTTATTAAACTTATTAGACGTTATGAAAAGAGTTTACATAAAATAAATAGACAACAGTTGTCTATATTATTTTGTCTATATTATTTAATGAAATATATATATATATATATATATATATATATATATATATATATATATATATGGGTAAGTCAAAAATTATCCACACTTTTAACATAACATATCTTTAAACAAGAGTGCAGATAATTTTTTACTTACTCTCGTGTAATATAAAGTCAAACCTTGGTTCACAAATTTAATTCGTTCCTGAAGCCCATTCATAACCTGAAATGTTTGTAAACTGAAACTATTTTTTCAATAGGAATCAATGTAGAGGGGAAAAAAAATCACAGTACAATAAAATTGGAAACGAAAAGTATGGCATAACACACGAATGTATACAACATGGCAGTAAACTCAGAAAATTTTGTTTGATAACCAAAGCATTTTCATCTCAAATTTTCTGTTTGAAAACCAATTTGTTTGACATATGAGACATTTGAGAACCAAGGTTGTGCACTCTCTCTCTCTCTCTCTCTCTATATATATATATATATATATATATATATATATATATATATAATGATCAAATCAATTATCATAAGTTATAAAATTTTACTCTGTCACTTTTTTGTTTTTGATTTTTGCAATACTTTTGTTCTTATATTTTTAATTCCTTTTATTTTTTTTTCCTTCACAAGATAAAGTATTGGTTGCGCAATGACAATGAATCACGTGCTATTGAGGCTATCATATATGGACAGACTGGCCAAGGGCTTGTCATTGGATTGTTGCCCAATACATATTACACATTCCGTGTTATTGTCTTTAATTCAGCTGGTTTTGGCCCCAGGAGTGACACCTACTTTGCAAAATGCTATCATCTCCGTAAGAAAACATATTTCTTGATCAGAGCTTTTTTTATTTTATTTTTTTTTTCTCATTTGAGCATTTTTGCTTTCAGTGTTTTTTTGTTTTTTTTAATTTTGTTTTTTTAAATGGCACACTTTTTTTCTTTTTTTTTTTTAATAAAATAAAGCTAAAAATAGAGCAGCTTTTACTATTCTAATTATAAACATTATTTATTTCCATTTTCATAAGTTATATATTTCTTCATCATCAGTTGGGAGGGGACTGCTGTACAGTTGACCACCTGACCATGTGTCTTTGTTACACATCAATATCCGAGTCTCTGAGAATAATTCCCCAGTCCATTCATTGATGTCATCAGACCATTTTTCCTCTTTCTGCATCTTCTTTTACCTGAAATGGTAACTTGTAGGAGGGTAATGAAAAGCTTGCTTGCTTGCTTTTAAGACGTGTCCAAATCATCATATATTTACATACCACTCTGCATTGGTTATATATATTATTTCCTTTTCTACTGTATAGCAACCACTCACCTTCAATAACCCAGTTCTTAATCTCAGTTATTTTTACTGTTGTCATAGCAGAATCTGACATCACAACAGCAAAATTAAAACACTGTTTAGCAGTCAAAGTTGCCTACAGTGTCTGTTAACAGATTATTTTTTTTAAAATCTTTAAATTAAACACTAAATCTGTCATTTCAAGACCCTTCTTCTTTGTAACGATAGAAAGTTAGGACAGTTATGAACAAGTAAAATTTCTTTGCTTATTTTATTTGGGATCTCTGAAAAGTGAAAACAACTGCCACATGCACACAAAGAAAATATCCACATATGTATATATCAAGCCATGTTAAAACTTAAAGGTATTTTTTCTAGAATAAAGCAAAAGAAATAAGGAGACAAGAGACTATTTTTAATTAAAACGCTACTGTTTAGCAGTCAAAGTTGACTACAGTGTCAGGACAAACTTTTTGCTTGGTAAAGTTGCCTGCTGTTAACAGATGATTTTTTTTTTTTTTTTTTTTTTTAAATCTTTTCAAAGAAAAAAAATCTCTTGTTCTCACACAAGAAAAATACAATAAAAAAAAAAAACCCTTAACAGAAATACCTTGTCAGTCATTTTCAATGAAACCTGTATAAGAGAGATTTTTGATGTAATACAAGTCTCTTAAATGGAAAGAAGTAACAACACGTGGCAAACTTGCGTCCTTTTTTCTTATACTTGAGTGCTAATTTTCCTTTCTTTCTATCCTCTTTTTCAGCCCCCCAGGACTATCCGACTGAAGTTGATGTTATTCCGTATGGTGCAGGTTCTTGCAAGGTAACCTTCCGAGGAATAAGTACTTACACCAATGAAGAACCAATTCAAGGTTACAGGGTGAGTTGTTATTTGAAATAGTTAAAATCTGACTTTTAATTTTTATTTTTTAAATTTCAACACCTGATACCTGTAAAATGTACATGCAGGTAGCTTAATGGATAAGTGACAAGCAAATTCCAAATAATAGGGCAGCCTGGATTCTTCGGCCTTGGTTGGTAGCCATTCTAGGATAAAGACAATTCTGAAGTCAAAACCAGTTCGACTTGGGGCTAGCAACTCCATTCCATAAAAATAAACCGACATACTATAGAAACTACTGCTGCAATGCCTACTTGTGGGGGACATGACACTAGACTCCACAATTAGAATGTACAAGGCTTTAGAGAGACAGATACATATAAAAGCTTTATTCTGTCAGTAATGCTTGGCTTAAATCCTGTTCATTGATAATTCCTTAAGGACAAGCTGTTTATTACTAAAATAAATTTCAATGACACCAGCCCCCACAAATAATTAAATTGACACTAAGACAAATATAAGTGAAAGCCTTGGCGTCACCGGGATTAAACGGACAAAGCCTTGGCGTCACCGGGATTAAACGGACAAAGCCTTGGCGTCACCGGGATTAAACGGACAAAGCCTTGGCGTCACCGGGATTAAACGGACAAAGCCTTGGCGTCACCGGGATTAAACGGACAAAAAGCCTTGGCGTCACGGGATTAAACGGACAAAGCCTTGGCGTCACCGGGATTAAACGGACAAAGCCGGGATTAAACGGACAAAGCCTTGGCGTCACCGGGATTAAACGGACAAAGCCTTGGCGTCACCGGGATTAAACGGACAAAGCCTTGGCGTCACCGGGATTAAACGGACAAAGCCTTGGCGTCACCGGGATTAAACGGATTGGCGTCACCGGACAAAGCCTTGGATTAAGCGGACAAAACCTTGGCGTCACCGGGATTAGCGAACAGATTCTTTTGGACAAAAGCTGGCGTCACGGGATTTAATAATACCTCTTCTCCTCCAAGCTATGGGTTAATTAGTAAGATTTGTATCACTAAATCATTATCTCAAAAAAATATTTTCTAGCTTTAAATAACCTGCAAAATGTTGACAAGACTTGAAAAAGGAGTCAATCAATCAATCTTTAAACAGTAAAAAATAACTCCTTATCCTATAAACTGAGACAGAACACTAGTAATGCAAAAAGTTAGATTTTACTGTAATGCTCTTTAATATCAGTAGCAGCACTTAAACATAGTAGCAGTAGCAGCCCTAAATAAATCTTGTATCAGCAGCAGCTCAAATACAAAAAAAAACATGTGAACGCTAAAGTAACTCTCTCTTTAAGGTCTTCATCTTTTGAACTGGTGGTTTGAACATTCCATGCTGAAGCTAAAAGGGCTGTGAATACTTCACACTAAAACACACCAAGACAGTTCCACTCAAATATATTCATGAACATTTTGTTGTGTATGCAATTTACTTCTAACAAAAACTCTTGTTTCAGACTTTCCTTTCGTTAATTTTGTTTTACTTTTAATAAATGTTATCTTGCATTGCAAATCAATTGGTCAGTTATTTTGTGTATGTATTCTTTTTCACCATCATCATTTCATTTTACTTATTATAAAATGCAGATTGTATGTGTGTGTGTCTGTACGTTTATATATTGGATCAGATTTCCTACATTTTTCAACCGATTTCAACAAAACTTCCCTTTTTTTTTTCTTTTCTTTTTTTGGCAGGTAGTGTTTCTTATTGTCTTGCACACTTTTTACTTTATTTTTACATTCAGAATGCTTTAAAAATTCCATTTACAAGACAATTGTTTATAATAAAATTCTATTTAATTGATAGACTCATAACAATTGAAAACAATGTTTTTGTTCGAGTTTGACCAATTCATAAAAAAAAAAAACTAATTAAGACATGCATATCCATCAACCTTAAACAATAATCTTTGTCAATTTTATTTTTCAGTCTTTATGATGGTCGATACTTGATCTATCTCTTACTGTTACATCCCCGGGCAACGCCGGGCTCTACTGCTAGTGTACTATAAAATGTTCCTGTAAGAAACCTTATACATTTAATTATTGAAGTAGCTAATGACTAAATTCAAAAAAAAAAAAAAATGATTTGTTTTTGTTTTTTTTTGTTTTTTTAAATTAGTTATTTTCTGACTGAGAAGCAGAGAAATCTTTGATTGCATTAGATAGACAATAAATAAGAATTTCCAAGTATGTGTACTATTTTGTGTTTTTTTTTTTTATTTATTTTCTGTTGATTCCATGCTCACACAATTTAAATAAATTTTTGTTTTTGTTCTACTTCAGATAAAATATTGGAGAGCCACAGATAATATTCGTGAGGCAAAAATTGTTGACATTGGACGGAATTCTTATGGTTATGTGCACAACCTTGAGAGAGGTGTTGTTTACAAATTACGTGTCTATGGATTCAGCAGGGGAGGAGATGGCAAAATGAGTTCCCCTGTCACCCGTTTCACCATCACCAAAGGTAAATCCAGCTTTAATTGCACTGTCTAATTTCAGAGTTCAGAATTTGCTTTTAAAATGGTGGAAAGTGTGGCAGGGAATGATTACTCTTCAGCATAGAGGGTACATGCATAATACACTTTCTACATGTGAAAACTGTGCCTGATTTTCTTCCAAAAAAGGCATGAATCCATCTCTTCTTCTTCCAGCTATCTAATATGCATGACGATGATTTGGGATAGCTCAATATCATTTACAATTTATTAATTGGACAAACTTACAACAGAAAACAAACATTAGCATCGACATGGGGCGCTGCTCGTTACGGGCATCGACAGGGCACTATGCTCGTTACGGGCATCGACAGGGCGCTATGCTCGTTACGGGCATCGACAGGGCGCTATGCGTGCTACGCTCATTATATACAAACACTGCATGTTAAGCAACGTTGTAATGAATTTTTTTTTTTTTCTTTGGTTGAAAATCTCTTCCAACTTCACTCTCAACTCTTCAGAAATATCTTTGCCTGATTTTCCCCCAGAACAGAATCTCTACTGAGGAATATGCACAGAATCCATATTCCCCCCAGCTATGGGTTAATTAGTTGGTTAATTATATACACGGAATTCTGTCCATGGTTTCTGCTATCATCTCAAAGAAGATCCTCACAAAGCATGCAAACTTGATAATATCCTTGCTATTGTTCTAATGAAATCTGCTCTCAAACTGGCTCCTATTCTTTTCAAGCTCTACAGCAAATACTTTGCTGTGCCTTGCTTTCCAGTTTGTTGGAGATCCTTTCCTATAATCCCTATCTTTAAGGACTGGTGAACCTTGTGACTCCTCAAACTATCGCCATATTAGTTTTTTTTTACCTCTTTTCAACAAAGTACTAGAGGGTCCAACTAACTCTGAATTGGTTAAGCTTCTCACTTTACATGATTTTCATGTTTCTTAATACTTTGCTTAGCTTTTGGAAGGCATCTTTCTCTATCTTAATGTGCCTTTGGATTTCAGTGTCTCCTTTCCATCTTCTGTTTCTATTTGATGCTAAGTGTCCTTTTTGTTTCCATTGTGTCTCAAACTTGCTCACATGTTCAATCCATGGTATTCTCAGCATCCTTCTGTAGAACCACATTTAGGAATAGATAGGTTCACCTATAGTTCAGTTCACACTCCTCCTTGTTCTCGTGAACAGAAATAAATGTTTATCCCTTGTTTTCTGTTTAGGATTGGATTCCCAGTTCCTTCTAAAGTCTTTTCACTCTTTCACTCCCAGAAGACCCTTGTGTCTTAGTGGCATTATGGGCTTGCTTGGGATGAACTGATTAAAAAAAAAGTTCCTAAATTAAATACTTTTAAGGTACAGACCTTGAAGTATTTTAACATATATATTAATGAATAGTGCTTTTGAACACATCTTTATCTGCATATATTCAGGCCGGTAGACATAAATAAATATACTGTTTAATAAAAAAAAATAGTGCTTCTACTCAAATATGAATATATGTTTAAAAATAACATTTAAAAAAAAGAAATTAAAAATATGTTGGATTTAATCCATTTCCTGAAAAATTGTCTTTGTTTACATTAAGATACCAAACAGAGTAGATATGTATATTTCAAGAATTGGAAAGCTGTGTTCAAAAGCATATATATAAATGTTAGGATAAAAATCTAGAATTGAGACCATGCATAAAATGGTGTGTTAAAATTTATATGTATCTTTTTATTGTTTTTAATATATTTTCAAATACTTTATTTTTATTTTATTTTATTTTTATTTTTTTTTTTTAAATATACAGGATGTCCCAAAAAATTTGACATCATTTCACAGGACAGTAATTTTAGCAATTCTTGTTGAAATAACCTGAAATTTTCACAGAATGTATAGAAACAGATCAAGATTTTATATTTAATGGAAGTGGACAGTATGTGCTTATCTCGATGAGAATCTGCCAGAAAGATGAATTTGGCATGGTGGAGATGAAGACAGTTTTCTGTTGAAATGACTGCCATGGTCACCAGACCTGTCTCTGTGTAATTTCTTTTTATGGGGATATGTAAAGGGACTATGTTCTCCCTCTTCCTGCTAACATTGGTGAACTCAAGCAGAGAATCACTTCCACACTGGATGATGCTACTGGAGACATGCTACAGTGTGTTCTGCAAGAGCTTGACTACTGACTTGACAAGTGCCATGTCACAGGTGAAGGATATATTGAACACTTACGAAATCACTCCCCTAATAAACATGTTCAACACCTAATCTGTTCAGTTTCATTGAGCTAGACTTCAAGATACAGTGTAACCCGGATATAAGAGTTGTGAGGACCGGAGAAGAAGTCTCTTATATCCGGGTTTCTCTTATGTCCGGGTTTGGTCTATTTTATATACATTAACACAGGCTCTAATTTGGGACCAGAGAAAATCTCTCTTATATCCAGGTTACACTGTAATTGCTTTTCAAATGATGTCAAACTTTTTGGGACACCCTGTATATTCAGATACATACATACATATACACATACATACATACATACATATATATATATATATATATATATATATATTCCCATTCATGTGGATGCTTGTTGGTTCCTATTTCTCTGAGAAAACACTTTAGATGAAACCAGCTATTCTCTATTTGAGCATGAAAAAAAAATTAGCTTTTTTTTCTCAAAGATATATTTTTTTCCTACAGCTGGTTTTAGGACATTTCTCAATACATCAATCAGGACAACTTATGGATATCAAAGTTATATTGAAGGAACAATATTCAAAAGTCCTTTGTTCTGTAATTAACTTGTCTTCTTTCAAAAAGTTTCTAAAAAGTTCTAGCAAATTTTCTACAAAATTATACCCCACTCCCGATTCTAGACTTTTACCAGAGTTTATGTATTGCTACAAGTCAGCTGAGGTCTTGTTAAATTGAAAACGGCAGGACCTGTCGCAAAAATAAATACAGAACACTTTACTTTCGACTGATAGTTATCAGCAAGCCAATTTTAAAGTACAGAGCAAAAGGCTCAAGACAGAGAAAGTCACGAAGGAAGATGAATTACTTGTTTTAGATGAAGATGACATGACAAAGAAAATTGTTATTGATAAAATTGACCATCCCGTGAAAAGGCACACAGAAGAAACAAAGTGGCCTGGAGAACAGACAGGATAGACAGCTGCTAGCTAGACTATGCACACCCCTCACCTACACCTCATCTCTACTTTGCTTGCTTATAGCAATAGGTTACAACCCAAGAATAAAATTTGGTTTACTGCTGGAAATAATTTATTTTTTTACAGATGATTTCAACCAAAATGGTTTTGTAATTTTCACAATAAATTATTAACTCATATTATTTCACAATAAATTTCTAGCTGTTCAGTTAAGTTTCATATTTTAAATCTTAAAGAGTCATTTTAACTTGTCTTAATCTTTGGTAATTTAACACATTCACAGCTACTTTGGATATTTCAAACTGTTATACCATACATATGGACTATAATGGGTATGTCCCAATCCGTATAAATATAGTAGAATATACTGTATGGTGTAGTCATTTGGATTCACCTTGATTCATTTCTAGCTCACCACTAGCAGTTGATTACTTACTACATACTGCTGGCGAATCTTGTATATTGTTCCTGTTATAAATATTATCATACCATTTCCAACCTAAATAATAAATATTGCATTGTAGTTGGTTTACATATTATGATAATTATATATTTTGATAATTTTGTCATCTTTTTAAATAAATTTTTGAATAAAAATATATCTTTCAAATTTATTTCTTTATAAAATGGTAAATAATAAATCTTTATATAAGGTAAATAATATTGCGTTCTGTTTGGTTAAGTTTTTGTAATCTTGTAAGATGATGACACAAAGTGGAAAATTTATTAATGACGTGTTTCGCCAAGAGCATCTGTTCTCTTTGGTTTCCTCAGGTTAGCAGACGTTCTCGGTGACGCTTTGTTAATAAATTTTTCATTTTGTCTCATCATCATTACTCTTGTTTCGGTTACTATTATACATCTTACAAACACAGTCTTGCAAATAAGCATTTTTGAGGGAATCAAGTGTATACAGTAATAGCATTGTCCTTTTGACACATTTTTTTTTTTTGTTGTTTTTTGACGGGCAAGACATTGTCCAACATTTATTCTTTGGATATTCTTAATTATTGTTATACTGTATAACGGACTATAATGGGTATGTCCCAATTCTTATAAATACAGTAGAATATAATGTATGTTGATTCAGTGTGGTCTTCCACTTGCGATTCACCTTGATTCACTTCCAGCTCATCACTAGCAGTTGATTACTGACTACACATCACTGGCGAATCTTGTATGTTGCTCCTTTTATAAATGTTACCGTTCCATTTCCAACCTTTGTTTTGGTTATTCTTATTCAGTAACCTTTTCCTAGGTTACAACACTTATGGGTAACAATCTGGCCAAAGGGAAATTTTTAAGCCGCAAGCAGTTGATCTGAAGAAACTGCACCTTGTCGACGAACTCGGTGTCTGGTTTTAGCTGCAGTGCAACCTGAATGTACATGTTTGTTTACCACCCTTCTTGTATATAGAACACTCACTGTCTCTTTTGTCTCACCTTGCTATGCATAGACTCATTAATTATTTACCTATATATCATTTACATTATTCAGACTGTTATCCTCACCTTCATTGCCATATTTACAATATTTCAGTTATTGGTACTTTCTTCAGGTGATTGAAATTTTGAACTGAACCCTTTATTTCATACATCGGTGGTAGATTGTTCTAGTTCCACGTGCTATGACTCTTTCGGATGCCTCAGTTATTTTCCTTTAATTCAACTCTCCAAGTTTTTTTTTTTTTTTTTTTTTTTGGTTCACCACTGGATCTAACCAACATCTTTATCTGCTGGGCCATGTGTCCTTGTGAATATGGCAATGAAGATGAGGATAACAGTCTAAATAATATAGTCATAATACCTCATCTCAGAGATATACACAGTTTATATCAATTGCAATTTTATTTATTTATTTTTTTTTTTTACTTTCAGATGGAATGGTTCGAAAAGACATGTATGACCCTAATCTGACGTCAGCCATGTATGCTGGGGCATCTTGTTATAATCCTGCATTTAGCTTGTACCTTCTTACACTAATTGCTGGTAGAATTTTAACCCTGAACTGGAACTGATGTTCAACTGATAACAGGACATTTTGTGAACATATGTTTTGCGGGTGGAGTGGAAGGGTTTGTTTTGTATATAAATGTCCCTTTTCCAAAGCCAGATTTTGGGAAACAAACCAATTGAGCAAGCAGCCTCACCCATATTTAAAAAAAAAAAAAAAAAAAAAACAACAAAAATAACTAAAAACAACAGAAAAAAAAAAGAAATACCTTTTTTACAAAAGAAATTGTAAACAACTTTTTTAAAAAATATTATTATGATTTAATATTTTCATAAAATTACTTGAATGTATTTTCATTTCATCAATATATGTGAAAATGATTTTTTTTTTTTTTTTAACATATCAAGAACTATTTTTTTAGTGCAAAAACTATGGCAAAGTGGAAAAGTATGTGTGTAAAACTATTCTTTTGTCATTTATTTTTTCTTCCCTTAAATCAATATATAATTAAATATTGAAAAATGCATAATTATTGAAAAGCCATTATTAAATTTTTACTCTTATTTCTTTCATTGTAATTTCAGTTGCTTTTCATTGCAAAAGCTCAGATCTTTCTTACATGGCTATTAATAAAACTACATGGGCTGGAGAATGACAGCCTGTGTAGTTGAGATGAAAAGTAACTGGAATTATAATGGAAACAATAAAGATCAAATAATAGTTAAGAAAATTTAATCTAATGAAAAAGATTTTAAATAATTTCTTTTTTTTTTATTCCCCCCCCTACCGCTTCATCATTTTAATGTAGAAGAATTAGAAACAGAATGTGACCATACCATTTCCAGCTACACTCTGATGTGAATTTCACAAACCTTGGCAGGTATTAAAAATCTCTCTCTCTCTCTCTCTCTCTGGACCTGGTTAGTACCTAGATGGGTGATCACTTGGGAATACCAGGTGCTGTAATCTTGGATGTGGGGGTGGTGGAATAAATAACTGCTTAGTATTGGAAACCAGAGAGTCAAGTTCTAATTCCAGTTGGGTTCTATTACTTACAAATACACTTAGTATAGGTATGAATCAACCTATTCACCCACAAGCTATGGGTTAATTAGTAGGATGTTTAATCATTATCTCTAAGAATTTTTTACAATCTAAAAATATTTTCTGGCTTTAAATAACCTGCAAAAGGTTAATAAGCCATAAAAATAACAAATCAATTTCTCTAATATATGATAGAATATAGTTTCAAGTTATGCTAAATTTAT